GTGCCCCCTTTCCCGGGCTGCCCTCTGGGACTCCGGGCGGGTGCAGCTGGTCCTGCCGCGGTGCATTGTGCAGGGAATGCTGCTCGTGGCAGCCCTGCAGCTCTGGCACGTCCTGGGCTGTGTCCCTGGTGCAGCTGCTGGGATCTGTGGCTTTGTGTCTGTAGTTTGCACCTCTGCCTTTCCCTGGGTGGACTGAGCACTCCTGCTGTGCCCCGGGTGCAGGTGCTGCCCCGTGGGGCAGGCCCTGGGTCCTCCCTGCCCTTTGGGTGTTGTAGTGCTTGAAGGATCTCATGATGCACTTTGGCTGTGCACGGTTGGGATCCTTCTCCTGGGAGCCCTGGCTGTGCTGGGCTTCAGCTGCAGCATTTGGGCAGACCAAGAGCTGTGTGTCCTGCAGCTGGACCCACCTGAGCTGCCTGCCCTGCTGCCTGGGGCTCCTGGAGCGGGTTGTTCCTCCTCTTGCCAGAAATCCAGCTGTTTGCTACGAAAAAAACCCCAGAGAGTCCCTTGGGGACTGGTCACGAAGGTGCTCGTGTTCACATGGGGAGTGGGCTCCAGCCCCTGTGCTCGGGGGGCAGGTCCAGCCCCCCAGCAGCTGCTGGGGAGGCGCGGGGGTCTCGGCTGCAGCTGCTGGAAGAGGCTCCGCGGTGCCTCGCGGGGAGGGTGAGGGATGCAGGAGGGGAAGCTGGAACCAGGGGCTGCCAGCTGGTGTGGGAGTGCTGCTCCTTCCCTGGCCCTCAGCGTGGCTGAGGATCGTTGCGATTTGGGCTTCAGTCTTGGGTGTGATTTCTGTGGGGATTCCTGAGCTGCCTTTGTTCTGTCGGTGCCGCGGCTCCATGTGCTGCTGGGTGTGTTTGCCTTCCTGGCACGTTATGGTTTCTGCCTCTTCCTCCCGTCCCTCTCCCCTTCCCTGTAGATGTAACATACATGTCTGCTCGTGTGCTGCTCACATCAGTCTGTGTAACGTGAAGTGAAACTTCAGGGCTCAAAATGGCATCCATTTTTGTGCCAGATCAGGCTTGTGGTGTCGTGGGGGGAAAAACACAGTCAATTCTGTCCTGTTTCCCTCTTCTTTTCTATTTTTCTTGCCTGCCCTCCTGGCATTTGCAGGCTCTGTCATTTCCTTTGTCTGCTGAGGCTGAAGGAGCAGGACTTGGAGCAGATGAAGCAGTGGCTGTGAGGCTGGGGGACGTGGGTCTGGCTCAGGGCTTGGCACTGGCGCTGCTGCAGGGAGGTCCCGGCTGGGCAGGGTGGGCAGGGGCTGTGGAGCTGCCATCTGGGACAGGGCTGCTGCCAGGTCCTCTGATGTCCCTTGGGGAGCAGCATCCTCTTGGCTGAGAGGTGAACGTGGTGGCTCTGAGGCACCCCTGTATTTCCCAGCTGCTTCATGCTGCCCTGGGGCTGAAGCTGGAAGGAGCCCTGGGACTCCCTGCCTTGGCCCCGCTGGTGTCACCAGGGCTCACGGTTCCTTACAGACTCTGTGACACACTTGAGGCCTCGTGGGGTGACTCAGAGCAGGGGGCTGAGAACAGGAGGGACCAGAGCAGCAGCAAGGTCTCCGCAGAGGGAGGGAGCTGGTTATTAAGTGAGACTCAGCTGAATGATCCTCAAAAGAAGCTGCACTTGGTGCTGCAGAGGATGCTGAAAATCTCATGTGGCTTCTACCAGGCTTGTCAAGGGTCGATCCCTTCCCAAGCCCAGATTTACCCGTCGGTCTGAGCTGCCCCATCAGCTGCACCCCCGCCACAGAACACTCCCCACCACCTGAGAGCCAGTCCTTCCCAGCCCACTCCGTCTCCACCTCTGTCCAGTGCTGGGACGAGGTCACGTCCCAGTCAAACCAGGTGGGTCTTAGGACACGGGTTGTTTTATCCTGGTCCCTGCAGGAAATGAGCTGCAGCTTTTGGGCACGGGACCTGCCTGCAGGGGTTGCCTCAGGGGGTGGGGAGCAGGTGGGAAGGGCTGCAGCAGCCCCTCAGGAGCTGAGGAGTGGATTCAGTTCCTCATTTCTGGGCCCTGAGCGACTGTCCCTGCCTTTTGCATGCACAGGTGAGAGATCTGTGCTCAAAAGGCTGAGATATGGTATTTCTTGGCTGGTAGTATCCTGAACTCAGTCAGTCTTCTGTGCCTGGACCAGAGCAACCTCCCTCTTCCTGGCTAACCTGGCCAGGGATCAGGCACTATCTGTTGAGTGGTGTGATTCATAAAATATTGATACACACTTCCCTGGGGTCATCCCTGCAGACAGAGGCTGTTACAGCTGATACAGTGACTGCAGCTCACATGGTCTCAGCATATCCCTGCTACCCTGGATAGAGGAATCCTGTTCCTGGGACAGTTAATGCTTGTTAGCACCTGGTTATGGTGGGTTCTGAGGAAGTGGAGAGGGACACGCAGTCCCTGACTTGGGAGTTCACTCTCTAAGGAAGGAGTAGATGATGTGAACAGCAAGAATATTGCCAGTACTGCAGATGGTGTGTTGGAAATAGCAAAGGAGATGGCTCTTGGTCCGTGCTTCAAGGTGTGAGCTTTCTTCTGTCTGCTTGATCTGGGGAGAAGCCACCAGGAGGGGCATGTTGTTCTCCAAGTTACCTGCAGGGATTCATAGAATGACAGAAATGTCAGGGCTGGAAGGGAGCTCTGGAGATCACCCAGTCCAGCCCCCCCTAAAGCAGGATCCCCTGGAGCTCATCAGCCAGGGCTGCATCCAGGGGGGTCCTGAGTCTCCAGAGAAGGAGACTCCTCAGCCTCCCTGGGCAGCCTGGCCCAGGGCTCTGTCACCCTCACAGCAAAGAAGTTTTCCCTCCCATTTCCATGTCACTTCCCATGTTCCAGCCTGTGCCCATTGCCCCTCGTCCTGCCCCTGGGCACTGCTGAGCACAGTCTGGCTCCATCCTCCTGCACCCACCCTGAGACACTTGGAGGCATTAAGAAGGTCTCCCCTCAGCCTTCTCCTCTCCAGGCTGAACAGCCCCAGCTCTCCCAGCCTTTCCTCATCAGGGAGATGCTCCAACCCCCCAGTCATCTTTGATGTCCTCCCCTCGACTCTCTCCAGCAGTTCCTGTCTCTCTTGAACTGAGGAGCCCAGAACTGGTCCCAGTTCCCCAGCTGTGGTGTCAACAGGGCAGAGCAGAGGGGGAAAACAACCTCTCTGCACCTCCTGGCCACACACAGGGTTCCTTCCCATGATTTGGGTGTCTCCTGAAGCAGCTGGTTCCTGCCCTGCAGGGGAGGTGATGCTGTGCTGATCCTCTCTGGGGCTCCCTTTGCTCCTGCCTCATTCCAAAATGTCACTTTTTATTCAGCACAGCCCTCCTGCTCTCCTCTCTCCACCGTGGCCTCCCTGCCCCTTGGTGCCCCTCCTGTGTCCAGTGCTGGTCCTTGCATTTCAACCTGTGTAAACCCAGCAGGTCACACCTGGTGACCAAAATGTCAATCCATGGGACTCACCAGCATGGAGGATCAGTTTGTTCCCCAAGCCCCGAGGTCAGCAGGAGCCTCTTGTTACTGGATCAGAGAATCATTTGGTTGGGAAAACACCTTGAAGATCACCCAGCCCCATTGCTCCTGCCAAGGCCACCCCTGCCCCGTGTCCCTCAGCACCATCTCCAGGGCTTGGAAACCCCTCCAGGGATGGGGATACCTGAATGGATTGACTTTGTGATCACTTTCCCTTGGCCTGGAAAACAAAAGAGTATTCCTACCCATCTTGCTGGGAGCTGGATGCAGTGCTGGTGTTAGTGGCAGAACTGTGGTTCTGGTTAATGCAGCCCTGGCAGAGGAGGCTGCTGACAGCTGGGATGTGGAGAAGAGAATAGAATCATTCTGGTTTGGTTGGAAAAGACCTTGAAGATCACCCAGTCCAACCATTTCCCCAGCCCTGCCAAAGCCACCCCTGCCCCACCTCCCTCAGCACCCCCCCCTGGCTCCAACCTCCTCTCAGCAGCTGCAGAGCCAGCAGGTCTCCCCTCAGCCTCCTTTGCTCCAGGCTCAACACCCCCAGCTCCCTCAGCTGCTCCTCACAAGTTCTCCAGCCCCTTCTCCTTCTGCTCCAGCCCCTTCCCCAGCTCCGGGGCCCTTCCCTGGACACGCTCCAGCCCCTCCAGGTCCTTCTTGTCCTGAGGGCCCAGCCCTGACCCCAGGATTCCAGGTGTCCCCTCCCCAGTGCCCCGAACAGGGGGACCATCCCTGTCCTGCTGGCCACCTCAGTGCTGACACAAGCCAGGCTGCTGGTGGCCTCCTTGGCTACCTGGGCACTCTCTCGCTCATCTCCAGCCCCTGGTGACCAACATGACAACACACACCCTGGTGACCTGGACCCATGGTCCCAATGAGTTCTGGCCATGGGGGCTCTGTGGGGGAAGCACCAAGAGCTCAGGACTCAGGAGGATCTGTCAGGCTCTTCACAAACTCCCACTTGTTTCTGCTGCCTTTTCTCCATGGGAAGGTTGACATTTGATGTTTGGCCTCAGGTGTTTGTGTTTGCATCTCTTTGGGTAAAGACCAGGCAGGGCAAGTGGTGTTGCAGTTGTTGAGATTCTCCTTGGGTGGATCCAGTGCTCAAACACCCGAGTGCAGAACTTGGCTGGGTCTGCAGCAGTTATGGATTGTTTGGGGGA